TGTGCCGGAGGAGCGGGCGGCGGCGGAGCGCCTGCCTGCCCCGCCGACTCCCCGCCTGTCCCTCCGGCTCCCCCTCGCCTCCCCCTGGCCGCCCTTGCCCCCGCCTGACCACCACCACCACCACCTCCACCACCACCGCCACCGCCACCACCCCCACCGCTGTGCCGGCCCCCAGGTGCGCGCCCCGCTCTTCTTCATGCTGGGTGCCAAGGACCGACGGGTGCCGCTGGACGATGCCAAGCAGTACATCAACGCGCTCAGGTGGGCGGGTGGGGCAGCAGGGAGGGCAGGGAGGAGGGAGAGGGAGAGGATGGAAGAGGGAGGAGGGAGGACGGGGCCGCTGCAAGGCTCGCCGGCCGCCGCTCCTGCCGGATATGTCACACGCCCGTCGATCGAACGGGGCGCCTCCTGGGCACCGCAGGCGGCGCAAGGATGCCCCGGAGACGCGGGTGATCGTCTTCCCGGAGGACAGCCACGCCCTGGACAAGCCTCAGACCGAGTTTGAGCAGTGTGGGTGCCACCTGCTGGGCGCCGCTGGCGAGTGATGGCAGCGGAGGGGCGTCTTGTGGTGCGTGGCGTGCCCGCACCCATGACCTGATGGCTTCCACCTGTGTCCCTGCCGCAGGGCTGAATGCGGCGTGGTGGTGCAAGAGGTTTGTGTGAGCGCGTCCTCGATTCGTTCTGCGATTGAAGTGAATTCCTGCATCTGGACAGCCATGCGGCAGCGCTGGCACCGCGCGCCGCCCAAACGTGACCTGTAAACTCTACTGCCGTTGCCACTGCCAGCTGACAGGTGTGGGCACACAGCTGCAGGCACAGGCTGGTCTGCTCCTGATCTGGCTCTGAGGGTTCATGTGCAGGGGTCCCGCCCGCGGTGGGCGGGAGGAAAGCACAGGTCCGAGGCGCACGTCCCACCAGCGCCACCCGCAGGCGCAGGAGGCCTTGGACGAGTCTGCAGTGCTGTGGCGCAGCCCAGCCCAAGCAGCCAAACGCAGGCAGTCTCCGCAGGCAGCCCGTATGGGCAAGACTGCCGAGCCAAGGCAGCTCGAGCCCCCAGCACCACTTGGGGGTGGCGAGGAGGGCGGCCTCAGCAGCCTCAGCGCCATCCAGGCTCCGCGGCCGCCCGCGCCGGCCGCCGCGCCGCCCATGGGCCCGCCCGTCGCGCCGCTGCGGCTGCACCAGGCGATCACCATCATCGGCACGCTGGCCCAGGCCGTGGTGATTGCCACCCAGCTGCGCACCGCTGAGGTCAGCAGCAGCCGCATCCTCATGCCCGCCGCCATCCTGGCTATCACAGCGGGGCTGGCGGGCACCACCCTGCTTGCGCCTGCCTTCTACTGGGCCCACCGCAAGCTCTTCATGACCGCGGGCCGCGTCGCGCTCTACTCCATCCCGTCCTTCCGCCAGGTTGGGGTGCGTGGCGCGGCGTGCGCTGTGCTGCGCCGCGCCGCGCTGCGCTGCGCCAGCCGCTCAGCCCTGAAGCAGGTGCAGGCAGGCTTCTGTGTTGTGCGGCGCGAGCGCCCTTCCCCCGCGCCAAGCACAGCATGCGACTCTCTTCCTCTCTCCCTCCCCCTGCCTCCCCTTCTTCCGCGCGCACAGCAGGTTGGGGCGGCGTTGATGCTGGAGCACGCGCCCCAGGCTGGCTGGCGGGGAGCCGCCTCCGACCTTGCCCGCGTCACGCAAGGTGGGATTGCACACAGTACGGCTGCCAGGGCAGAGATGGACAGGGGCCCACAGGCCAGAGCACAGGGCCCACATGTGTGACCAGTGACCACCTGCGCCTGCTGGTGCTCGATGCAGGCACGCGACTGCTGGGCCTGGTGATAGGGGGCCTGGTTGTGCCGCTGCCTCCGGCGGCCACCCTGGCCACCCAGCTCGTGCTGCTCTTCCTCACAGCCAACCTCCCGGGCTACTGCGGCACCCAGCTGCTGAGCTCCCCGCTCACCGGCCAGCGCACCCTGCTGCTTGCTGGCGCCCTGGACCGCGCGGCGCTGCCGGTGCTGGTGCTGCAGGCGCTGGCGGGCTCCGTGCCAGCCGACGACGTGGCGGCGGCGCTGGCAGGCGAGCACCCGCAGCCACACCCCACCCATGTTGCCTGCCCGCCGTGCACCGGTGCCTGCAGCCCGCCAGGCAAACTCCCGCCGTGCTGACATGGCACCCCCGGCGCGCTTGCGGCGCAGGCCAGGGCCCCGTGCCCATGTGCCAAGCCACGCTGTCGTTCCTGCAGCTGTCGCTGGGCGTGCTGGTGCCCACCCTGGTGGCGGTCTACTGCTGGCACCCGCTGCCCGAGGAGGCAGCAGGGTCCGGCACCCCCACCGCTGCCAGTTACCTGGTGATGGACCGAGCATCCCACCTGCAGCACATGGCCGCACCACACATCGTGGCCGCCCGAGTGGCCTACTCCCATGCCGCCAGCTGGGCCCAGTCGGCCGCGGCGGGCACCGACCGGCTGCTGCGCCTGGCCTGCCAGAGCTGGGGCGGGGCCCTGGCGCGTGCGGCGGCCTGCTGGTACCTGGCAGCCCTGGCGTGGAGCCTGTGCAAGCGGCTTGCGGGGCTCCCCGTCTGCTCCCTCTAGGCGTGCCTGCGTGTGTGTATTGGCGCTGGCTATTGCTCTGCTTCCCATGTCAGCAATGCATGCTGCCTCGTATTTGCCTGTCCATGTTTACAGATGGCCAACAGGCATGCACGATTCTGTGACCTGCCCGTGCGTTGCCACCGCCGCCCCCGCCACGGCACACCACGACCAGCCGGCGCTCCGGCCCCCTGCTAGATCGGACGCAGCTTATGTAGCCCGGTCCATTGCCCTGGTTGACCTGCCCTTCCGTTTAGGAAGGTCGGTGCAATCATAAAAGGTCGGTGCATTCATACTGGTACCACTTCGGTGCCTGTCTCGTCCCCGGTGTCGTCGAATTTGCTGACTGAATCCGTTTTCCCTATGATCAATTCTAGTACTGCGCGTAGAAGTGTTTTCTCGAGAAAATCCCGCCACGCAGCATACAGGACGCGCTTCTTATTATGGGCAGGGCAGGCCTCACCGCGCGTCAGCCCGTTTATTTACTGTTGTTAGTTCGCTGAGGGAGGTTCCACATGGGGCGCGTCCCAGCTTCCAGCTGTCAGGATTTTGTGCGATCTTTGTGCGATTTGCGTGCACCATCTCCTGCAATCACGTGTATCGCTCTTCCACTCTTCTTCACGCCACGCTCTCAGACATCCGACTCAACCAGCATGGCTGCGGAGATGGTGTTGTCAGATAGCGCGGCCTGGGGCTCCCAGGAGCTCACAAACGCAGCAGCTGCTGTCGCCAAGGCCGCAGCAGTGGGCAAGGAGGGCGGCAAGTGAGCTGGGGGAGGGTCTGCCATGGCGGTACTGCCGCTCCGCTGCGCAAGCGGGACGCGGCGTGCCATGGCACGCACGGCCAGCCCCTGCCAGCCGCCCCCGGGCCTTCCTCGCCGCCTCAACAGGCACCGCCTGCTCGCCGTCCTTCCCGCCCCGCAGGGGGCCCGCCGCAGCCCCGCGCGCCGCCCAGGGCGCCATGGTGGTTGTGGTGGGCGCGGGGCCCGCCGGCCTGCTGGCCGCCCACTTTCTGGCGCGCCACCACGGCTGCCGCGTGGAGGTGTACGACCGGCGGGGCCACCCGGGGCCCATCCCCATCAGGCCTGGCGACGAGGACGACGACGATCGAGCCTTTGCCCTCGCCATGAACGTGCGCGGCGGCGGCGCGGTGGCGGCCGCGGGCCTCGACCCCGCCGCCTTCACCTCTGTGCCGGGCACCCACATGTGTGAGGTGCGCGACACGGTGCTGGCGCGAGGGGACGGGCTGCCGCGGGTGGGCGGCGGCCGCGGCTCCGCCATCACCATCGCCTTTGACCAGCCGCGGGTGGTGGGCAGCCGGCAGGCCTTTGTGCGCGCACTGCTGCATCAGGTGGAGCAGCAGCAGGCGGCGGCGGCGGCGGCGGCGGGCGGCAGCGCCAAGGGAGGCAGCGTGGCCTTCCACTGGGGCCAGCCCTTTGTGTCTGCCGACCTGGCGGCCCGCACCGCCACCTTTGAGAAGGGCGAGGTCGGCGCCACCTTTTCTGTCGAGTACGACCTGCTGGTGGCGGCAGATGGGTACTGGAGCAGGGTGAGCGGGGCGTGGGAGGGGCAGCGGGAGAGGGAGAGAGAGGAGAGGAGAGAGGGAGTGGGAGGGAGGGAGGGAGGGGGACTGTGTGCGCTTGCGCTGTACGACCCTGGTGCGAGCTGTGCCTGATGGCCTTGCCACTTGCGCCCCTGCACACTCCGCTTCCCGACCAGCCCACATGCACCCGCCCGCCGCTCCAATCATCCCCAAACGCCCGCAGGTGCGGCGCGCCGCCGAGCGCCAGGCCGCCGACCTGTGTGTGACCACCTCCCCACCCAACCACCAATACAAGGTGGTGCGCGGCCTGCGCCCCGTGCCCCACCTGCGCCTGGGCCCCGCTGCGGGCCAGTCCGGCTACGGCAGCCTGTTCATGGTGACGGAGGCAAAGGCGGGGGTGCGGGCCGCCGGGGGCGGGCCGCCGGGCAGCTTCTTCATGAGCCAGCCTTCTGAGGAGGCGGGCGTGACTGCGGTGCTGTCGATGGTGCATGCGCGGTGGCAGGGGCTGGAGGGCGGTACGGCTGCGGCGTACCGCGAGCTGCTGCGCGTGGGATACCCCTCGCTGCCCGACAGCTGGGCGGAGGAGGTGCGTGGTGGTGGTTGGTGGGCGGGGTGTGTGTGGAGACGGGCCGTCGGCTGGCGCCTCAGCAGGCCCGGGCTCTTTGCCTGTGCAGCGCCTTGGCTGTTGGGGCTCACGCCTGCTCGTCAGTTGGGGAGGAACGGCAGCGGCCGCCTGATGCGCTGGCACTGCTGCTCGGCTGCCACTGACCCTCGCCCCGCCGCCCTGGCCGCCGCCCGCTCCCATTCCGTGCAGATGGCCGCCCAGCTGGCGGTGCGCCCGCTGTACGACACGGGCATGCAGGTGCACGCCTCGCAGCTGCACGCCCCCGGGGTGGTGCTCCTGGGGGATGCGGGACACGCCGTGTCCCCCGCCACCTCCAACGGCATGAACAGTGCCCTGGAGGATGCGCTGGTGCTGTCGCAGGTGGGGCTGGGGGCGGGACTTGAGGTGGGGACTGCCGGGGTGGTGGAGGTGGGGCTCAGGGGTGAAGCGGGCCGGCGGCAGGCAGGCCCACGCGGCGAGCAGGCAGGCTCCCAAGCAACGGAGCTGGCCCCTCCCCTCCCTTCCCGGCCCCCCACAGAGGCCGCCTGCTCACTTGCTCCCATTCCCATCTGCACCCACTTTCCCCGGGCTGCTTGCCGCCTGGCTCACCCCTCCCACTCCGTCGTCGTGCAGGCGCTGGAGGCGTGCGGCGGCGACCTGGCGGCGCTGCCCGAGCGCTACACCGCTGCGCGGCTGGAGGACGCGCACGCCCTGCAGTGGATGGACCGCGCCATGTCGGCGCTGGTGGGGCGGGGCGGCGCGGCGGCGGCCCTCAAGGCCTCCCTGGTCGCGCGTGTGATTCTGTCCAAGGCCACGGGAGGCTGGGTGCGCCCCCACGCCCTTGTGCTGCTCAAGGACGGCAGCCTGCCGTACGGCGAGGCTGCCAGGCAGGTGCGGCGCGACGCGGCGGTGGCGAAGCTGGTCGCCACGGGGCTGGGGGTGGCGCTGGTGGCGGCGTGGCTCAAGGGGAAGGCCCACTGACAGGCGGCTGACACTCCATGCAATGCAATTTGCTCCGCCCTGTTTCTTTGGACTTTCCTTCCATTTAACAGTACACTGTAAGCGCCTTTTCAGGATTGGTTGAGAGCAGCAGCAGAGTGATAATCTGCACAGGGCAGCAATCCCTGGGATCAGCGGGCGGGAGCGGCGCTTACGTGGCGCCGCTGCCTTGCAAGAGGCTGCAGCCCTCGGCGCTCCGCACAATCGTCATCACGCTCGTCCATTCGCGTGCAGTGGAGGGACGAGAAGGGGAAAAGGCAGGGATGGCGACATGGGCGGGCGGCCGCGTGCTATCCAACTCTGCCGTCCTTGAGACCATCTCCAGCTTCGCCACCAGCCAAGCCGATCTAGGAGCGGTAGGTGTCGCGCCGGCCGACTTCCAGCGCTCAGAGCGCCCGTCGAGCTCGCACGGGCGGCTACATCGCTGTCTGTTGCCCTGCAGGACGATGCCGGGGCTGCCAAGCCGACGGGAGCATCCCGGGAGGACAGCGAGCTGGCGGCGGTAAGCTCCCGCCTCCATCCGCCGCCGCTGCTGGCTCTGCCTTGCGCCTCCCTGTACTGTTGTGCCAATGGAGTGCACGCACTATCTTGTGTGGCGACGCAGACGCCCAGCGCCGACCCTGAGCTGTGGGCAGCCATCTACGACAGCCTGGAGGAGCAGGCGAAGCAGCGGCGGCGCCAGCTGGCGCGCCACCTGTCCGACGCGAGCCCCGAGCTGGCGGGCCGCCTGCGCCAGCAGCGCGTGGAGCAGATGCGGTGCAGCGCGGAGGGCGTGACCTACTTTGAGGATCCAGCTCCGGCAGCCGGCGGCGGCTCGGGCCTGGTGCTGCCCTCCTTTGCCGGCTACCCGGCCGCGGTGCGGGAGGCGGTGCTGACCCATCTGTGCAACGCCTTTCTGCAGCAGGAGGCGGAGCAGGTGGGTGGCTGTTGGGACGGAGCCCAGCTGTCGCTGCCTGACCTCTCCTGCTGCACGCAGGCGGGCCAGGCAGCTCTCAGCCTTGCCAACCCTGCATGACAACGCCGCGGTCACACGCCGTCCACTGCCCCCGCCGTGTGTGCTGCCAGGATGGAATCATCAACAGCATACCCGGCTGCACCGCCCAGCTGGTGCTGGCCACCCTGGGGGACGGCAACTGCCTCAGCCACGCCTGCAGCCTGGGCCAGTGGGGGATCCACGACCGCGACAGCCGCCTGCGCAGCGCCATTCAGGCCACCATGGCGCACCCGCAGGCCGGCCCGCACATCCGCGTGCGGTTTGAGCGGCAGCTGGCGCTGAATGGAATACCGCAGGTATCGTGGCCGAGGGCCGGCAGGGCAGCGGCGGGCAGCTGAGCAGCAGGCGGGGAGGCATGCATGCGTTCCCCGACTCCCAGCTGGCTCACAGCTGGAGCTGGCCA